AAAATTTCCACAGTCAAAATTGAATTATTTTTTTCTTCTCAGCACTCAATACGTGAGGTGGGAGCTCTGAATACAAAATCTGATCTTGAGTACAGCTGCATAATAATTTGTACTCACGGTTTAATATATAAGCAATATGAACACATAAAACTCAGAGAAATAATGTAATAGAACACTGTAAACTCTGTAACCTTTCTGCTTGTGAATTAATACAAAATAATTTAAAAAGAAGATACCAGACAGAGCTAGCTATATATGTGACATATAGCAGTCAACTGAGAAGGACTTAGACAAAGCTTGTTTCTCCAGGCAAAAGTCTTGCATTAACATGAAACACTACAAATACTGCACAGAGAAGACATCTGAACACGCAGTTTGGGGAAATACTACGGGATGAAGAGGGCTCCTTATCAGTGGGTACTATCTAGATTCACATAATTGCAGGGATAAAGTGTCAATGGCACATTTACAAGTGAAAGTAAAGAGGAGTACAGATGTTGCACAAAGTTCCAGAGAGGAAAAGAAAGAAAAAGATTGCAATAATGTAGTGTAACATTCACAGAAGAAAAAAAAAAAAAGTTTAAAATGTCCTACTAATATAGCATTTATAAGAAATTTTTAGGTGCAAACATAGAAATATGAAAGCAATTTTCCAGGCCAGCCAAAAATGAGAGATGAAAAAAAATAGGTTATGTATGCTCTTCATAAAAAAAGAAACATAACAGCATAAAAATCAGAACAATAAATGATGTTACGGAAAAAAAAAATAATGAAACCGAGCAGCTAAGCAAGGACTTAGAGAGGCCACTGAAGAACAGGAATGGAAATTCAGTGACAGATGATGCTGATATATTGCTGACACCCTGAATGAATTTTTTGTCTCACAATTCACAAGAGAAGCTGAAGGTCACAGAATAGAGTGTGGAATAAATTTTCCAGTGGGGAAGTGAAATACGAACGTGTCTTACGATCACCTCAAGGTTAACAATTAGGAACTCAGCATAATTAAAACCTGACAAAGTAGCAGGTACAAATGAGTGATATCCCACAGAAAGCAATGCAGTGTTAAAGAAAAAAAAAAAAAGCTGTCAGTTACAAATAGGAGAGGATTACAATCACGTTAATAACATTTAAAGACTTTTCCCCGCATGCTAAAATGGGTGTGGCTGTAATTCTGAAGCCATTCTCTGCTGGGAAGAACTGAAAATAATAAATAGAGCAGTAACATAGGTCAAACAGATTTGATAAAGCATCAGAAGTATGAAATTAAAAGAGAAAAAAAAACTCATTAAAAAAAACCAAACACCTCTACAGACATCCTTTGTTCCTTGCTCTACTTCCACAGAGCCCACCCAAGGTAACTAGGAATCTAAGATATTAGAAAAATCCTATGTAAGCAGAGGAAGCACAGGATCACTCAGTTTGAGAAGTACTACAGTTTTACACTAATTTTATTTCTCTGCAACTTCAAAATCAGGGGAAAAAGGCATTTTTTTCAACAGCACTCTAACAGTAGGAACAGAAAAGAAAAACAGTAAAGATTCTGTGCTCTGAGAATTCAATATCTGATGTAGGAGTGGAGCTTATACCACTCTGACATTAGACCACTGGAATTTGTTGATATATATAAAGCAAGGGAAAAGCAGTGATCAGTTCCTAACAGCTTGTAAACTCAAAGGCTAGAACTATGGATTAAAAAGTGACAAATAGAATTAATTTGCAATATGAACACTTACAAAATGCTAACAGCAAATTCAGATGCTCTAACAAGAAAGAGTATAGGTGTTAAGATGAACGACAACTTGATCAGATTCAATAGTCTGAATGTTTTAAATTATGAATTTTCATAGAATCATAGAATCTTTCAGTTGGAAGGGACCCTTAAAGGTCATCTAGTTCAACTCCCCTGCAATGAACAAGGACACCTACAGCTTGATCAGGTTGTTCAGAGCCCCATTCAGCCTGACCTTGGATGTCTCCAGGGACGAGGCATTAACCACATCTCTGGGCAACCTATTCCAGTTCCTCACCGCCCTTATTGTAAAAAACTTCTTTCCTATATACAGTCTTGTCCCATCACAACAGACCCTGCTAAAGAGTCTGTCCTCTTTTTTCTCATAGCCCCCATTTAGATACTGAGAGGCCACTCTCAGGTCTCCTCGGAGCCTTCTCTTCTTCAGGCTGAACAGCCCAGCTCTCTCAGCCTGTCCTCTTAGGAGAGGTGTTCCATTCTTCGGATGATTTTTGTGGCCCTTCTCTGGACACGCTCCAACAGGTTCCATGTCTCCCCTGTACTGAGGACTCCACATCTGGATGCAGTACTCCAGGCGAGGCCTCACCAGCACACAGTAAAGAGGCAGGATCACCTCCCTCACCCTGCTGACTTGTCTTCTTTTAATGCAGCCCAGGATATGGTTGCCTTTCTGACTGCTGGCTCATGTCCAGAATGCCATCCACCAGTACTCTCAAGTCCTTTTCAGCGCAATCCTTACATCTCCCAGCTTGCATTGCTAATGTGGGTTGCCATGACCCAGCTGCAAGACCTTGCACTTGGCTTTGTTCTCCTGGACCCACTGCTCAGCCTGACTAGATCTCTCTGGATGGCATCCCGTCCCTTGTGTGTGTTGATCACACCACACAGCTTGGTGTCACCATTTTTTCTAGCTTCGCATACAGTTTCTTCCTCACAGCTGCCACTTACCTAGTCATTGTTTTCTCCTACCTTTCTGGTAAAAGGGCTTCAAAATGCACACTTTTAAGGAGAGAACAGTACCTGGTTGTGGATAATAACGCATTTAACCTTTTAAATAGGTCACAAATACAGCATAGTATACATGTTGGCACTGAGTACAGTTAAAGTTGCTTTTAAATTTGCATGTAGAGGTAATTAAATGTCTCTCCTTCTATCCCTAAATGATAGAATTTAATTATAAATCTGAATCTGTTTTACCTAATTAAAAAAAAAAATACCCCAAAATTCTTACATGGTTTCTAATGAAAATATCTGCTAAGTAAAAAAATAAAAATTAAAAAAATTAAATTTGGAAATAATACTTTTTCTTGAAATTCTGCCTTGCTTCCCTTACACCGGGGTGGCTATTATCTTAATACACAGACTATACACTTCCACAGAATTCTTATGAATTTAATATCCACAATACTAAAACCTCAAGTTAGTTCAGGCAACTATAATAACAACACTTTGGGTTCATTTAAATAAGAGGAGCTCCTCAAACTCTTCAGGAATTTAAAGCCTTCTCATGTACTCTCTTTCCCTGACCTACCAACTACCTCAAGTGCAGACACCCTGAGGAATAAAATTGGACAGAACAGGAAAAGGGATAAAGAAGTATGATGAAACAGAAAGAACAAGCATAGCATGGAGAACATAATGGGGAGGAACAAAGTCTCAGCATCAAAATTACAAGACATCTGTGAGAAAGAAAAACTGAGGAAGCAAAAGGTTCATAATCAACAGCCGGCTCAAGTTTATGTGACAATTTTGTGTATACTATCATTCTTAATTTCTAAAATGCAATACTATACATATGCAAATATTCTTAGCAAAACCTGTGCAGGACTAAACTTCAAGAAATATACATTCATACTAACATTTCTTCTACCAGTATCTTATAAGGTTTGTCTCATTTTAAAAAGAACTACATTACCTACTACAAATTCTGTCATTTAATTCTTTACCAGTTGAATCCAGCATTTTTCCCATATACAGAATACTTGCAAAAGCCTGAAATTAACAAGTGATCTTATTCATGCTCTTCAGAATATTCACATATATCTTCTGGTCTTGCAAAATTTCCCTGTTACCAACAAAATTAACTACCTATCTTCTCAACCAACTACAACTCATTTTTCTCTTCGTTCTTCCCTATTGTGAGTGGTCATACTGACTTCAGTCTCACAGAAGCACCTGCTGTTAAGGAGCATCAGTAATAGTCTTCTCTGAGCTGTTACATGTCTGCAAATGAGTTTTGTTGTATCCCTCATTAAGAAAGGCAGTATGAACTCAGACTGGGCACAAGTCTTCTTTGTTCTCATGGCATGTGACTTCAAGACCTTGCATATCTCTCTAACTTTAGCTACAGGACAGTACTGGAAAGGACAAATGATGGTCACTCATCCATGGTTATGGTTAAACAGTATAATGGTTGCAGAGCATGCAGTTGTATACAAACCTTCCATGTTCTGTTTCCAAAATAATGCAGCACCAAGGAACACCTAATTCTTTTAGATGACAGTGGGACTACATCCCCACTCATGATGGAGGTATACTATTTTAAGAAGTCTGAAAATGCTATATTTTTTCGCTCTCACATGTTCCTATATATGTTTATCCACTTATATTTTATGTATTTATACTGATGGCTATGTATTTTATATGAATATAGAGTGTATTTATGTATAAACGTGTGTGTGTGTGCATATAAACTGGATTGGGATGGAACTAGGCTGTTTAGTCTAGGGAAAAGGAGGCTAGGGAGAGACCTTATTGTTCTTTTCCAGTATCTGAAAGGTGCTTACAGAAGAGTGGGGCTGGTCTCTTCTCACTGGTGACAGGTGACAGGACAAGGGGAAATGGCCTTAAGTTGTGCCAGGGGAAGTTTAGGTTGGGTATCAGGAAAAACTTCTTTACTGAAAGAGGAGTTAAACACTGGAATAGGCTTCCCAAGAAGGTAGTTGAGTAACCATCCCTAGATGTGTTTAAAAACCATTTGAAAGTGGTGCTCAGGGACGTGATTTAGTGGAGGGTTGTCAGTTAGGGTAGATTCTGGTTGGACTTGATGATCTTTAAGGTTTTTTCCAACCTGGGCAATTCCATGATTCTATACATATATACACACAACACAGGGACAAAATTACCTTAGGACAAATTCTGTATGTGTCTTACAAAGTCATTCACAATTTAGGCTTTATAGAACAACACTGATTTCACATGAAATATACTAAAATAAAACAAAGCTGTTCTGGAGAAGAGCTCTTACCTGTTTTACTACTGTCACAGTTCCAGGTGCCATGGTAACAACTGAAGCAACTGCAGTGGCATCATGGGTTTCTGATCCCAACTCAATGATTTGCTGCAGAATGTTTACAGCTGTTGGATCAAGTCTTTCACCTTATCAGAAAGACAGTATGTATAAGATCATTACAGTAAAGCAGGCGTTAAGGGTATGTGAATCTAACTGCCAGAGACACTCTTTCCCCTCGTGCTTTAACCTTGATACACTGTGCTGTCTGTAAATTCAAACAGCTCACTAGCATGACACTTTAATAACAGATCTATAGGATGAAAGTATTCACAAAACAAACCTGCCTGAGGAATGCATGCATCAACAAGTGAAACCACACTGCTCATTTTTATGACTATTTTAAAGAGATCAAAAAGAATACATTGACTAAACAAACAATAGATACAACTAACAGCAGTAACTGTAAATTAGGCAGCTGCGAGACTATACAAATCCAAATGTGTATTTGCCAGACATTCATATTAAGCAGAATCTGAACTCTATACCTATAACAAAGACAGCTGTTTTGTACGTTAGATACCTATGTTTATTATCTGTCTGAATGTCTGCAACACCTCTCAACCTTAAATTATCACTAATGTGCTAAAGTGAAAAAGTTAATTTTTTGAGAGAAACAATGCCTATTACATTATAACTATGGGATCAGAACATGTTTGTCACATTTTTAAATTGTTTTTATGTGTGCAATTCTACCAAGGTAAGGCAAGTTTACAAAAAAAAAAATTATATACTTTCATTTCTCCTGAAATGTAAGAAGGAAAGACTCAGCTGCTGAAGAATGCTTTGTGACATGCAGGAATAGGAATCCCCTTCCTGTGGTCTGCATGTCCATACGATTAGCAGTACCATGACAGATGTCAGAAAGGGAGGAAAACTCTCAAGGTCATGATAAAGCTGCTTTCATTTGCTGAAATCACTGCTGGAGCTAGGAAAGAGGCCTGAAGGAACCAGTCAATGGAATAAAGCTCATGTCTTAACCCCCAACCTTTACAGATACTGTGGTGGGAATCTAGCTCAGATCATTTAATTTCAAACTAAGCTGTTATATTTTGTTATCCAAATGAAATACAATTTTATCTGAGAACTGAAAAATGTTTTCTTGCTTTAATTTCTTCCTATATAACTGCCTTCAGTTACATAACTGGTATAAACTACTAGGTTTCATATCTACAGGGACTATGTCAGAAAAGTTGGATGATTAAACCAAATTGTTCTACTTTGAAAATTACTGCCTCATGCTTAAAATCAAACTGTTATATGCAGCATATTCTGTGATCATGTTTACTTTAATTTAAATATATTATAGCTTGAGAAATTTTCTCAAGATATTTTTACTCCTTCTGAATTCCCAGTTATTAATAATATACAGAAAGTGCGAGTTACATAATGGAACTGTGACATGCTTGGAGATGCCAAAAGAAATGGGAGCTTGTGAAACTTATCTGTATTATGAACCATACAGTTCACAGCAATGGTAAAATGCTCTCTTCTGGCAGCCACTGCATTTATTTACACACATAAATTCAAAAAATATAAGCATTGATTCTAGTCTCTGTTTTAACACTCTCTTAGATCTAAGAATTTCTTCTTACTTTGTTATTGCTCCTGACTTATAAATCTCATCTAATTCCTCTTTTTCTTGTCTAATGTGATACTGAATAGTTCATTCTGCTTTCTGTACCATTAGAATTAAGTTTGGTTGCACTGTTTTAGGAATATGGTAAATTAAGCATTCCACTGTGTCAGTTCTGCAGGATGGCTGATTTATGAGGGAAGAAAAATGATAGCTAGAGAACTGCCATTAGATACACACCATCTGCTTTGCCAAGGCAGCTGAGTTCACAATATATTGAATAATGCAGGCAGGAAATTCCACACATCTAATAATAAAAGGCAAAGTAGAGTGTGGTAGTTATTAATGATTTAAGGACACAGAAATTAATTATGAATGGTCACTTATTATTTACTCTCCAAGAAAAAATATAAACTCCCAAGAAGTTCTGAATGACAAATTTCAGCATTTTTAATTGTTTCACAGTATTGTATATTGCCCACTATACTGAAAAGAATTAGATATTTATGAAAAAATAGATATTTGGAGCTCCAACCCCCAGAAAAGTAACTTACCATTTTCAGAAGTGTATCTAAGGTTCTGTAATGCAGCTACAGCAGCCTGAGTACCTTGATCATCTTCTCCAGCCTCTGTGATATGGAGATACTGAGTAGATGCTTCTTCAGAAACTTCAGCAGTTAACTTGAAAACAAAACCCAGCCAATGCATGGATAATTTCCCTCTCATTTTAGCAAATTAGAGAACAATCAAAGTTATGAGTCTAAATTGATGAGTTTTGGACAATAAACAAGAGTTATAGAAATTATCTTTCCCACAACTACTATTTTCAAAAGAGGCTGTTAACATGTACTTTTGCTCAGATGGGACTTTTTTCTTTATTACTGCTCCAATAACAGAGATTTTCTTGAATCCTGGGCGTCCTCTTACTTTTTATGTTTGGCCATCAAGGAGGGTGGATATAGTATGGTTTGTGAAATCCATATGAAAATAACACTTCAAAGGACTACATTTTAAAATACTTGCCCCTTCTCCTTTGAATAACTGTCTACACAGAACCTATTGTGATAGTTTTTGAGGATTTTACACTCTAACCATGCGTACTGCTGAACACGATCTGCAGGACAGACTTCTAAATCAGGCATCAGGCTGATGCTTAGGGCTGGAGTGCCTGAAATCCAGCAGGATCTGAAACTGACTTGTCTACTGCAGTTGACTTCTGTTTCTCCTGTCACTGCCTACCAACAATGAACTAATCAGGCAGTGGAAACTCAGCTTGTTAACTGTGATTTTTTAATAGAAGTGACTGGATGGTTCTGTGATTTTGCCATAGCTTCCACATCTACATTCAATTTTGTTTCATTAAAGTAACAGTCTTCATTTTAAAACAAATTGCTACCCATGTTACAGCAGAGAAAAGATTTAAAAATTACAGCAGCTTAAGGCAACTGCACAACCCCACCCACCGAGAAAATTCAGGTGGTGTTTTGGCTTTGTTTTGTTTTTTTTTTCTGACTTGGCTTCTTAGATCTAAGTTAAGTTTTTTTAAGTTTTGATCCTAATTATTGATGCTTTGACTCCTATATACTTTGGACAAAAGACTGAACAGTGGAAGACATACTTTTTATAATAGTATAGCCACGAAGATGATCAGGGGACTGGAGCACCTCCCCTATGAGGACAGGCTGAGGGAGCTGGGCTTGTTCAGCCTGGAGAAAAGAAAGCTGCGGGGTGACCTCACAGCAGCATTTCAATATCTAAAGGGAGCCTACAGAGGGGGGGGAATCAACTCTTTGAAAGGGTAGATAACAGCAGGACAAGGGGAAATGGTTTTAAGCTGAGGGAAGGGAGATTTAGATTGGATATCAGGGGGAAGTTCTTTACAGAGAGAGTGGTGAGGTGCTGGAACAGGCTGCCCAGAGAGCTTGTGGATGCCCCGTCCCTGGATGTGTTTAAAGCCAGACTGGATGGGGCCCTGGGCAGTCTGGTCTAGTATTGAATGTGGAGGTTGGTGGCCCTGCCTGTGACAGGGGGGTTTCATGATCCCTGAGGTCCCTTCCAACCCTGGCCATTCTGTGATTCTGTGAAAACTCTGCTTTACCTCCCACTTTGCTTCCTCATCGTGTTCCACAAGCTTCATTCCATGCTTATTCTTAAGATGTCTGTTGAATTCCCATTTTGTACCATATACAAAGCTGCAAACGGGACACTTAATACCACCTACAAGAAGACAAAAATAAATTCTTGTAGTTATTTTTCTATTAGGTATTTTTCAAGGAAGTAAATACCCAATTCATTTAACCTCAGCTCTGCTAAGATTTAAAACTGAATTTAAAAATCTTTGCTTTCATAATGTAAATAGTATGAAAAACTGGAAAAAAACTCACAAAGTAGGTGAACTCTTAAAATGCTTTAAAGGAAATTTTGAATAATGGTAATAAAAGGAGTCTGGAACAACTCATGTACCTGGAAAAGTATAGCAATCTTGCTTCCCTACCTTCATGTTTCCCTATGATGGATGGAAAGTTGGAGGAATGCTGTTTCCATCTTTCTTTGCTTCTACATCTCTCTCTCTTGGGAATCCCTCTCCCACTTACAAACATACAACTAACTGCATTAGCTTGAGATAGTACTTCATTTCTGTAATTAAGTCCAAGTGAAAAATAGTGGTTTCAAGCCTATTGAGCTAAATGTTAAGAGAGAGAGCCAGAATTTAAACAGAGGGAATTTAAACTGCAAAGTAAATAACAACTTACTTACTGGGCAAGAACTCGAGCTCACAGTCATGATTCTGTCATGATTGGTTGAAACTCAAGCTAAGCAGCACTAAGAGAGCATTTGTAGTTTCCAAGTGACATTTCTTTGAAGTCCAAGGGTATCTGTGACTCATATTGTGCCATAGGCCAAGCATAAACAAAGACTAGTACATGCATTAAATAATTCTAAATAAATACTTTTTCACAATAAATACTCTTTTATTTCAAATTGTAGAGTTCTTCAGAAACTTTAATGCTTGCTCCATTGCACGCTGTTGTAGTTTCCTATATAAATTGTAAGTATATTCAAAAAATCTACAGGAACGGGCTCTGTCAAGTTTTAGGTTTAAATACTGGCTTCCTGCTGTCCTATTAAGACACTTGTTGTTTTTGAAGATACTTGTTCTAGCTTTCTCAAGTTCAAAACAACATATTTGTGAATTTGGCACAGTGTTTACCTAGTAAACAATTTTTTACAGGTAAAAAAATACTGAATATGATGAAATCATAAGCGGTGAATTTGAGACTAAACAGTTTTCACTTCTTTTCCTTATTAAAGTCACTTGCTCAAATGTCAGATTCCAGTTGTTTGCAATTACTCAAGTAAATGTTTTTTGTTTTGTTTTGTTTTTTTGGTTGTTTTTCCCCTATTGACTAAATCATAGCAGAAATAATGTACATATGATAATTTGTTACATTAGGTGACCAGAACTCACTCTAACAAATCTAATTGCTTTAGGAGCTATTCCACCAGATGGCAAATGATGACTCTTACTCATCGTGTTCAAACAGACTCTCATAAACTGGCAATAGGCCAAGTTCTCACTGCCCATAGTCTTTTAAGCATAAGGTGGCTAGAAAAAGCTTTCAATTTTAGTCATGGAAATCCACCAAATGGTATCCTACCAGGTGAAAATAAACTTTCTGTTTTGGTAAAACAGAATGTAACTACATGCAGTCAGTAGAGTCTCTCATTGACACTTAATATTCATCTATGATTTCCCCTCCTTGCTCTCAGTCTAGTGTAAATCCTCACCAAACTTCGCTATTACAGCAGATGCTTAATATTCTATCCCAGTACAAAACTAAACTGGTTTCTCTATTAGTGGGCTTAAAAGTCTGCAGTTCATAAAAGCAAAATAATGTGGCTCTGATGAGGACAAAGAAATTATCGGTTTGAGAAAAGGAAATTAAATATTAATTCCACAGTAATCTTTACTATTAGAAAGAAATACCATTGTGTAAGAGAAGCCTTTCCTACATTTGTTATGGAAACCATTATAACAATACACCAGATTAATTAAAGTGCAACTTTTGTTACTGAGACTTTAAATAAAGAACAGCTATGAAAGCACGGAGCTGATAATATTTAAGTCTAGGTCAGTGATTTGATATTAAAGCTTTGGAAAATTAACTTTTGCACAATTCTTTAAAAATTGGCAGCAGAGAGTCAGTAAATGACGGATCTTCTACTTTTAATACCAAAACTGATTTCTGCAACAAAAAAATACACAAAGACAACTGTTATTGTCTGCTAAAGTGATGACAGTGTTGTAACAGAGGCCACAAATGGATCATCCTGAATGTACTGCACAAGTTGCTGCATGAACACAAACAGAAAACCCATACACCAGAGAGTGCAGAAATACATAAGCAAAACAGTGGATGGCAGGGAATAATCAGTAAAAAAAAAAAAAAAAAAGTAAGCAATTTACAGAAAAAAAAAAAAAATGTGACATGCTCCACACTGGAGAACAAATTACACTAAAAAAGGAGCTATCAAATGAGTTGGCAGAGTCTTCTAACACAAACTCTGAAGAGAAACCCTCCAGGCTGTTCCCAGCAATACATAATCCTCTTGCCTCCTCTACTCTCTGAGCACTTCTAGGAATCTGGAGTGGAATCCAGCAGTTTACATGCATATAAGTATTTACAGTTAAGGTATTTGGAACACCTGCACTGTAGTCACAAACCAATTGACAAAAATGGAGAAGAAAAGATGAGTGCATGTGAGATGATTCACCCTCGGCTCATCAGGTAACTTGGAACAAGCAGAATACAAAAAAAAAGAGGAATATTTTTACATGGCTTCTATTAGGTGCTAATTTTCATTTCTTTCCCTTCTCTTTTTTTTTTTTCCAAACCCACTCATTTACTGGTTCTCTTGCCTTTTCATATTTGTCTGCAGTCCTTTAGTTTCAAAGGACTTGTTTAATATCAAGTCTGAACAGTCATTTTCTCTAATATGAATACATGAATAATTTTCTAAAATAGCTTTCAGATCCATGAATATGCTAAACTGAAGCTTGATAGAGACTAGTGAGGCAGCAAGTTGCAACTGCTGACCAAGGCTGCACACTTGTCACACTGCATCATATGTCCACATTGATCCGTTTGTGCTGTGACCCAAAGATCTTCTGATTCCAAAATCAGGAAAAAAAAATATTCACTTAAATAGCACTTGTGTGCAACTCCAAACGCAAATCTTAATTAACTCAGTCTCCTAAGGGAACATTTTTTTCCTAGTGAGATACCAAGACAGTGAGAGGGGAAAAAAATAAATAAATGATCTTCATATAGTCTGACAAGACATCTACAATTATCCCATTTTTGAGTTCACATGTAATACACCCCACAATGGGCTACACAGGAGGAAGAGGAGCTGGCAAAGAAGGTTGCATGTGGGAAAACTGCATCGACTAGCATGATTTTCTTCATGATAGTTCTGAGATGAGGCATAGTCTTGGTCGCTGTTACACAAATTTGAAGTCCCTTCACTGTTCCTATACCCTACAGAGCAGGTGAACAACTGGGAAGCAAGCACAGTGGTAGTGGTAGTACGGGAAATGTGTAAGGAAAGGAAGAGAAAGAAGGTTGCATAGTCAGGGAAAACAGCAGAGGAAAACATGAAGGCTAATTCTCTTTAATCTCATTCCAAGATCTTAATTCTCTGACAACTGCATTCTCTATTTTATAATTTTTTGTTTGTTTACTTCAGTGGAAAAGAAGTAATAAAATCAACTCTACCAAACCCTAAAATATTTTCAGAACAATAGAACTGAATAAGGTTTGTGTTTTGTGAACCTCTGAGTACCTTTTACACTCACAAAGGTGTCTGATGGCAGAGTCAACTGTTTGTTTTGATTCACTGCCCAGTGCAAAAAAGGACTGATGGGAATCAGACAACCAGTACATTGAGTGCTTTGCTGTTACTCAAGCACTGCAAGGAATAAGTTACACTATGATTGATGCCTGTATGAAGTAGAAATGGCAGAAATAAAGCAAATAGTACTGCCCATCTTTTCAGAAGGAAATACAGGACTTCAGCTGAAAATTATCAACAAAAAATAATGACAGTGAGAAATAGAACTTCGAATGCTAACTACATAAGCATGATAAAAGAAACTAATTCAAGCTGATCTTCTTTTCCCTCTGACATTCCGTTAGCTCTTGAATTTTGGATATCCCCTAATATTCTCATTACGTCTTCTTGACCTGTCTATGATGGCAATTTCTCCAACTGACAGGAGTCTATATCTGATCAGTTTTATTTGTGTAGTACAACTATAGTTTTACACAACAATAACAAGGAATGGAACACTTAGGACCCTAGCACAGCGATACAAAGTACAGAAATGCAGGCCAGGTACAACACCCTTCTGATGTGGAGACAGAGGATGCAGCATAGAAGACAAGGAGTGATAAGAAATGGGACACAAGCTTGGTAATGAAGATCTCAGCTATAAACTACCAAAAAAAATGAAGATCTGCAGCTAGACAACACTGATGCCCTTCATATGTACTTTGTTGCTCTTTAAACTATAAACAGTAAATCTGGATGTAATTTGGAGCTACAGACCAATTAAAAAGGAAGCGTAAACATGCAGCAACAAACATGTTAACAATGACCTCAAGCAGAAGGGGAGAAGAAGACAAAGCCATCAAGATTAACATCATTAGATCTAGATTAATGATTACTCTTAAATTAGGTTGTTAAGATTTACATTATACTAATATTTACATACATAAGTTGTGCTTCCTTTGGCCGCAAACAAGACTGTGAGCAGTATTCTGTGCAACTGGTTTTATCTGCAATCTCTTTTGTGGGGGAACAATTTAGTGTCATTTACTCTCAGTGTTTAGTTCAACCTTGTAAAATTGTCATCGAAATTTATCATTCATTTCAAGATACCGAATCTTTACTTACAGAATGAGACAAGTGAAAAAGATAAATGTACACAGCAGTGAACAGAATGGGCAAGGTCAATCAAAAGTTTGATTCACTCACCCTTGGAAATCAAGAACAAAGGACATTGAAAGAACAGTTAAAGACAGGCTGTTCAGAATTACCAGAAAGTAGTACTAATTTATAACATAACACCCAATAACACGAGGAATAAATATCCTTCAGAAGTTTATTGTACACCAGGTTTGCTTCAGCAAGATAACATCAACTCTTATAAAGTGGAGGTTTACCTTGTTGGATAAGGGCTTCTGCGGCAGGCTCCCCAGAACCTACATTTACATACTCTTCATTAGGATGCTTTCTGTTGTAATGCCTCTTCAGGGAACCAGATATGTTGCAGGAATAATGGCAATGTGCACAACGGAAAGGCTAGGAGCAAAAAGGAAACAGCTCTAAGCTGCAAGGTCTAGACTCAGAGAAACCAGGTTGAATTCTAGTTTGGGCATTTTCCAAGGAGACCTTCCAAAATTCAACACAAAGTCATAACTTAACTTTACCTACAATTTTGAACTTTTAATTATATGCAAAAACAAACAAACAAACAAAAACCAAGAATTCTCAACATTATAAGATCAGTATTTACTTTCACAATTCAATAAACTGGGTATTTTCATAATGAGATCAGGCCTGATCTCAGGTCTGACCACACAGAAATTCTCTACAAGTGAATTACTCAGTTGCCCTGAACAAAGTAATTTTTGTCTGAAAAGAGGGAGTAAGAGAGCTAAAATAACTGCAGCTTTTGAGTGAGACATGCAACTGTTAAAAGAAGCTAGGCAGAACCAGGACTGAAACAGAATGCAGACACTGACTGAACTCCTTTGGGAAAAGTCAAGTTCCTCAGAATGAGCAAAATGCTTCATGCGCAGCCACATCGACCAGACTCATCTAAAGCTAGTCAGCAGAAAACAGCTGGTACAGAAATTCTGATTAAGAAGCTGAATTTAGAGCAAGGAAATGCCTGCTGTCAGGGTCTGCTGACCAGAACATTGCCCTAACGTTGCTGCTCATGACCTTCCTTGAGGCTTCAAGCAATAACAATAAGGAAGAAAACTGGTGTTCAGATTCCTTTAACCTTTCAATTCAGAAGGTGCTGTAACATTCAGCTTTCAATTTTTTCATAGTAATGCCCTCCTTTTCCACAGCAGATATCACATTTCTTTCAAGAAAATATTTCATGCAGATTGCTTGGTTCTTGTATCAGTTTAAATACACTTGCATGTACTGTGTGTTATGTGCTATATGACAGCAGGATTGGTAGCAGGGTGAGGAGAGGCAGTAATTTTTTCTTTAATCTGGCCATATAGAGTTAATGGCACAACCTCTTTAGCTCTGTGCAAACAAAACACATTTGTGCTATGATAATGCACATAACAAACATGAAATAGTATATGCTGAATTATACTAAATCTAGCAGTGGATGTGGTATGATCCTGAAGACGAAGACGTAAGTGCAGAAAAACTTCAAAAATGGTCTGTCCAAGTGACCAGTATAAGATCACAAAATATTCTGCTTGATTTGTCCAATTTGCCAATATGAGGTCACACAATATTTTCATGTGTATCTACTTACCTTAGATAATTATTTCTAATTAGTACTTTGGAAGTTTCAGAATAATCAACCTTCTACATTTGATTCAGTTATTTCAAAAATGTCTAATGGTAATGAAAGGTCTGAACAATATGCAGTTTCATGCTATCTGGTATGCAATTACAATACTTCACACAATTCAGCTAAGTACAGGGCAGAAAATAGGACAAGAAATCAAGCAAACGAAAGAACAAAACAAAAAACATAGGCAAATCTAATCACTGGTAGAGAAATTTTCCCAAGGCTTCTGTTGTTCATTACTACTCGAAGTTCACCATCTTCAGCAAATTACATTAGCATCTCCAAGCCGTAATGGAAAAGGGCTTTTCTAAACATCCTGTTGATTCCTTTAAGCAAGCTGTATTGTAATGGTGTAACAGCAGCAACTTCATTGCACTACTACTGTCTGCAGTGCAAATTCATGGAGCTGATACTCAGAAAAAAATGTTAAACTATCAAGTTACAAAATTTTTGTTGTCAAAAACAATCTGAATGCATCTTAAAATCATAAAACTGACCAGTACCAATATCTAAATAAAATTTATCTAAAAGAACAAGTGCTAGAACTTGAGAATAGTGAAAAAGGACATCACCTTACCACTAATCATCATGTACTTCTGTGGATATAATGCTTATACGTATAGGGAAATGAATGAACAATACATCTGAGTAGAACTGTTTATCAGAAGAACTGTCAGCATGTTTAGTGTTCATGAGAATACACTAAATGACACAGTGCATGTTCACTAAAAATGCTATTTTCAGAACAGGTTTTAAAAATACTGAATTTGACTGAAGGTACACTAGATGTTAAGAAATATACAAAACAAATTACAGATTTTTAAATGACCTAAAAATGTACTGAAGTTATGTAACAGGATCACTTTAATGATGTGACAACAGTTAGTAAATGGCACAAAAAAAAGTATTCTTAATAAGTTTTCCAATTGTTTTATACCAGTATGGCAGGTTTTTTTTTTTTTAATCTATTCCTCCATTATAGCATTTGGCTGATTCTAAGTATCTTCTAACCAACTTAGTTTCCACTGTCTTTGAATTTCGTTTACCACGATCAGAACACCTTTCTAACCATTCATTTGTTTTCTCTCTGGTTATTCACATCTCTTCCAGGTTTTCCATATCTATTCTACTACTTTGTCACTCTACATCTGCCCAGCTTTCCAACTATGTCAGGAAAATGTAGTCCATTCACTTCATTCCTTTCTTCAAATTCTATGTAGTACTGTTTTGGTTTGCTTTTGTGGGTTTGTTGTTGTTGTTGTTGTTTTTTACCAGAATAATGCCTGAGCATTAGTGGATGTCCCATCCCTGGGGACATCCAAGGTCAGGCTGGACAGAGCTCTGAGCAACCTGATCTAGCTATACGTGTTCTTGTTTGTTGCAGGGGAGTTGGACCAAATGACCTTTAAAGGCCCCTTCCAACTCAAACGATTCTATTATTCTATGTGCATTTCTTCTCATGTGCAGTTGAAGGAAATCTCCTGTGACCTTCAGCATAACCAAAATGAAATAAAAAAGCAAAAAAGTTCTAAACAGCACAGTGGTCTGTAGACTAGAAAAGCAGCACAGCAGTAACTAGACACCAAGAACTCACCTATCACTAAACATATAAAGAAAAAATAAAACAATCCATTTCAGTTTCTCAGACATCTAAAATTTAAATCAAACCATCAGATGTTGATAATTATTTGTAATTCTTTTTTCTTCTTCCAGTATACCCTGAAATGAAGTAACAACAAACATGAGTTCTTGTACTTCTGAGGTCCAGGTATTACCAGCAACTCACTGTCCAGACAGGAAACAATTCTCAGCATGCTAACAGGATTAAATTTGATTTCTGCAGCTTTGGAATCCATTTTTGAGAGTGTCCTGACATCCAAATTCAAGCACCTGCCAATCACCAGGGTTCTGTGACTCAAGTATCATGTAGCTTGGAAATAGGATTGATTAAACTATTATTAGATTGTGTTGCTACTGATGAGTTTGATATGCATGCAAGCAACTATCCCAGAGAGAGGTAGGTGTTACTAAGAGACAGTTAATGAACCCCTCTTAGCAAATATTCCTGATTGACTTACATCAGTGCTTTGCAGTTCTTTTAATAATGCATTGAATAGCCACAATTCAATGTAGGCTTATAGAGGACTGCCAAGAGGCATTGTATCTAATGCTAAACATTGGCTAAACATGGTCAGAACTATCCACGTTTTAACTCATGAAGTACTTAGTATGAGTACTTTCATCTCATTAGCCATTTAAAAAGGAAAAGAGTGTTTTTCCATTAAAAAAATAGAAAAATATGTATATATATAATTGATCTTTAAGAAAAAAATATCTTTCTTTAAAATATACAGTCTCTCCAGACGATTTGCTTCATTTTCCTATATGGTCTTGCCTTCCAAAACTTAAATCATGAGTCAAAAAACTGTCATCCTTTCTGCTGTATGAAGGAGCAACTAAAGTGTACTCTTCATAGAAGCAAACTAATTTGTTAGATAATGAAAACTGTTGCATATCAAAATAGTATGACATTTTCCATGATTAATATGTTCATTGCTAAGATAAGTGTTACATTAGAATGAACATTTCATACATAAGAAATATCCAATTTTTTCTGGAAAAAAAACAAAAATCAAATATCGTTTCTGTTTTCTGAAAGCAGTATTTCACTATTCACTCCACCAAGATCATGCTGAGAAACAACAGGGAATTTGAGAATAAAGTCATACCAAAGTCTACACATTTCTCACCTAAACACTTCACAGAAGCATTAACAATCTTCGAAATTCTCTCCAAGCCACATTTCAGGTAAATGTGTTGGTTTTTTTTTTGTTTGTTTGTTTTTTTAAGTTAATCCTCATCAATTTTCTTCAAGTATACGAACTCTCATACAAACTTGCACAGCAGATTAAGATGGGCAATGAACAGTGATGGATGGCATGCATATTCCTACTTTAATAAGGAATTTTAAGATACGTATGAGATTAGTAATGTCAAGTCAGATATAATGGTTACATTTGGTTTATATTTTAAAACACATATCTTTGTCAAGTACTGATACTGAAAATAGTACATGAACAAAATAAATCCACCTCAGAAAATTCCCAAAATATTAAATTATTAAGGTGCTGTAATTGTGACTACAAAACAAACTGTGCTAGTTTTGAAACTGTTGCCTGAAGTTTCATGTATTTCTAAATGTTATCAATAACAACAACTTATGTTTTCTTACCTTGAAAGAGACATGTTGTTCCATATGACGTAGAAGTTGTGGCTTTTGAGCAGCTGTGTAGTCACATACTGTACATTTAAACTGCTTTCCTGAAACAGGCAGAAAATGGAATCACTATTTTCTATTTAAGTTCTGAAAACTACTGGTAATATTTCTTCATAATGATGATTTCCAAAGTTATAATAACGAACAATACTCAGTTTACCTGTTCTGCAAAATTTGGTTAAACAGAGTGAAGAGCAGTAAGGAAGAAAAAAGGCTTGAGTTTCACCTTTAAACTACAAGTGTTAACTACTGGAGTTTCTCTTGGGATAGGTTTTTGGTGAAAAAGAGAAAAAAATCAGTATAGCAGACCCTAAATGGAAGAAGCGAATTGAGAATTTACCACTACAGTCACCTTTACTTTGCTATTCATAAAGCAGATTTATACATCTTTAAAATACTGATGTTTGGTCATGGTTACACAGGTTTACTCTACTTTTGTCCTCAGTAGTGAGTTGTTAAAATTCAAACACATTTAAATTTTCTAGGTCTTCTCTGCATGCTTTCTTGATATATTTCTGGTACAGCATGACAGAACCTATTATTTTTACCACAAGATTTCTTCAACGTATTTTGCTTTACTCTTCCAATAATGATTCAAAGTACCTTAAAAAGATTTCTATGAAGGCTTAACCCAAGACACAGGGAGAAATAAATTGGTCATAGAATGAAATAGGATTAATATGGCAAATAGCAGAGCCTTGTGTTCCAACCTTTCACTTTTGCTTATACTGTTTTAAAAATTCTGCTGCACAGATTGTAGCAGATAGCATGATGGCTCCTTGTTCATTATGAGTTTTTTTCTTTTCTCATCTAAATCTCTGCAGTAATCCTCAGACTCACATACAGTCCTACAAGGCAAGACAGAGCACATACTGGGATTAGCCCACCCCTCCTGTGCGGTGTCTGGCGGCTGCCAAACAGAAGGAGAATGGGAAAGTGCTGTCATCTGTCCTTGTAGTGCTGACTTGTATTTATTATAAAAGGGGACACATTTCCTCAAAATGTATGGGGTTAAAATAACTTTGGAACTTCTACTTGCCAATAGGATAGGAAAACAACTGGAGCATATTTGCAAAACTTTGTTCTCACAGGTACAAGGCTAAAAAGTCACTGAAAGATTCAAGATACACTGTGTTTCTCAAGTACTTCATAGACTGAAAAAGTCTGATTGTCAGTACTGTCATACAATTTGTAGAGACTGCTTTGTGAAAAAAAAAAAAAACACAAAAAACCCCATCAACATTAATTCAGTACAGAAGTGTTATCCAAAGAAAGCTGCTTCTTTAAGTTCCATATAGGAAGATTATGTTGTATTTATAGTTTATTTGAAATTTTTTTACATGCCTACAAGTTTCCAAGTCAGGCCATAATACTGCAGATACTAAACTCAAATAGCAGTAACAAAACAGAAGTATAAGAAATGGAATTGCAACTACCGAAGCTGATAGGTAGAACATTCAGTCTAAAAGTCAACATTTTTAACAGAGGGCATGACTAATGTCTAAGACAATTTAATCAAAAATCAGATAGATACCCTGTCATGTGAAGTCTTTAAGTCTACTTAGATATAATACACCTAAAAAGATGTACTACACAATCCATCTGAAATGTGATGTAGAATTATTAAATTACAGTCTGTGTTCTGCAAGACATCAGACTCTGTGGTCATAATGGCCTGCTTTTGGCCTTGAAACCAGAGTCTCTAACAGGAATGAATTCTCTATGACATTTTCAAGAAACATCTGTTGCTGTTTGTGGCTCCGTAAAGAGGGAAGCTCTCAAACATATAACCTTGCAGTACTTCCCTTTGTGTACCCTTTAGTTTAAAGCATTTTCTCTCCCAAATCTTTTTTCCTTTATGATTTAAAAATAAAATAGCTTGTCTCCATTTTTGTCTTGCTTTCAAACTCCCTTCTCTATACATTTAGATTGTATCAGTCCTGCTATGTATTAAATGTAGAAAGAAGGCATTTCTTAATTAAATGCCCATGGTTGGCCAACTAAATCTGATCAAAACAGTGTAAGTGTGTGTTAAAGCTAGTCAAAAAGCAAAAGAAGCAATAGGAAGGATAAATAAGTGTTGTCTTGAAGAAATCAGGTTTCTTTAAATTCTGAATCTCAATCAAACATTTACAAGCATTTTATAACAAGTGTGAAAGCTTCCATAAAACAAACCTAAGAAAAATTGTGTTGCAATTTCTGATATCTAATTAAATAATGAAAAACAGCTTTTCTGATTTATTTCTAATCACAACCAGTAATAAGCCTGGGCTGCAGAGTTGTTTTCTATCTTGTCACCCTCGAGTGGAATAAAACAGACAGAAAACTACTTTATATTCCACTGGGTAAATTGACCTTGCAAGGCTGATATTTGAACAAAAATTGCCCAGATTCCTAAGTCAGGAAGACAAGACTCAAAGAGCAGAAGCATCTTTCAAATTCATTTGTTTGTGAAATAATTGAAAAACACTAGCTATGTGCTAGTGAGAAGTTTTGAAGTGCTGTCAGTGTAGGGGAGACATTCAGCAAAGAGAAACCAGCAGCATCCAAGAGGTTTTGAGTCCCTTGACAAATCATACAGTACATTCTTGATGACAAATGTTATCTTTATTTTAACAATTGTTGGAAATATATGAAGATTTACTGAAGTGAGCTTTGTGAGGAATAAGACTCTATAGAGTCACTCACTATCTAGAGATAGTGAAATCTGTCACCCCAATGGCAGCATGCATTTTTCCAAAGGTAATGGGAATTTCCCAGAACACTGTGTTTGTATCAGTCCCCATGCAGGAGATATTAATGGCACCACAGGAAGATGTTTTTCTAAGCTTCATATTCTAATTATATTCCAGATTTTCTTTCAATTCAAATACAACCTGCTCTCTCCCACTGCCAGGTATCAGAAAATGATTTGATAAGTGAAATAGCTGATTTCTGCATATGTAATTATACATATGTGCAGCACTTGTATGTTATTGATCAAGTTATTTGAAAACACTGGAAAGTACTTTTGGAATAAGGAATAATTTACTGAGTTGACAATACTACACATTTCCTATAATACCTATCATACCACTGTGAAAGGGAACATCCCTTCTGTTAGTGTCACACACACTGAAAAAAACAGACACAAAAATAAGATAGTATTGAAGCATAATAAGGAGCTTGTGTGTTTATGTGCAAGGGCAATGCTAGTGAACAGGCAAAAAAAAATCAAGAAAAAAAAAATTTAAATGAAATAGTCAATAAAGAGAGGAATTATGCTCCACAAGGTTGCATGAATAACAAAGACCATGCTACTAAGATCAGCAAAACTTATAATGCTTATCATGCTTTGAAAACAACAGGAAAATAAAGTATTGTTGCACTCCAAATTGTGAAAGAAATTAAGAGTATTTTTATCTTGGTTTACATCTAATTTTCTTCTGTCATTATCACAGAAATATTAAAATTACTGAGCAAATGTTTCTGCACATGTGCCTACTGGGAATACATACCCATGTGTACCACTTAGAATACCTGGGGACATAGGTGTGCAGTAATTTGCCTCTACTGGGCTACTGGATTTGGCAACTCCTAACAATATTCTCACAGAAGAAAGCAGATAATAAAGGAATTATCTGTATTTTCAAACTTCTGTTGAGATCAGAAGTACTCTGAAAGTATACAGAAGGAAGTGATCACAATACAGGAAAAGCAAGTATTCCACAGACAACTGTCTTTCACAGAGGTCAATTTTGAAAAGTTTTTGAATTATTACATAAACAGAAATATGTCCTGGGAAAAAAATAAACTTTGTCAGTAGAGTTCAGTGCTCAAATGAAAAAAAGGTTGTTAATATAGTGCTATATTACAGGCAGGAGTTATTGCCCTAGAACAAACTTGGATTTAATAAATGTGCTCTTACCATCAGCAGTATGAAGGAGTTTATGGCTCTTCAGAGTGCTTTTTGATTTAAACTTTTTCCCACACATATCACAAAGGTGTGTTTTCTCAGTGCTGTGACGATTCATATGAGCTTTCAAGTTACTTTTGCTGCGAGTGGCATACTCACAGAGAGAACATTTGAAGGGTTTGACACCTGAAAAGAAAAAATGCACTAGGAAACAAGCTATATGTTTGATGAGAGAATGGACATTTCCTTAAGGGAAATACAGAAATTTCAAATTTTGAGAGCAACACAGGCAACATTTTAAAATTAGGGTGTTCACATTTAAGAAATTTAATCTGCAGAGTCTAAGTAAATGACACCGAGTTCTTGAGTATCATATGATTTAACTCATTACGAGAATGGAGTGTTGGGGTGCTCATTTCAGAATTAAATACTTCTATATTAAATGCAGGTTTTAAGTTCAATAATGAAAATACGATTATTTTTGTATTAGTACATTGACCCTGCATTTAAAAGTGGAATCCAATCCATCTAAATTTGAATCTTACTTCCAACCAAATGTTTTTCTAACAGTCTGCTGATAACTAACATACTCTATTTACTATAACACGGAACGAAGAAACTTATTTTAGGAAGATTGGTTCATTAGATATTTAATTCATAAGCACAAGTTGAACCTGTAAAGTTGCATTTGATTGTTAATTGCTTCAGATCTTCTAATGGCTTGCATAGTCGTACTTTTTTCTGGTTAAGCCACAAGGACTTACAACTTCACTTCTTTCAAATCGTCCAAAGCAACAGTTTCTCATCTAGCAGAAAGTGCACTAGAACAAAGTAAATCTTTCAAAGAAAAGTTGGATATAACTGAACTAGCAGAGTAATTCAACAGTTTCATGAGGCTCTGACAGTTTTAAGTTGATATTCATGATCTTAAAACTGGATTTACAAGCATGAGGAATTACAACCTACTTTCAAGCAGACTTGATTGCACGCTTTGATTTTGGAATAAATTCCTGTCCATTTCTCTATAGTTACATGAAATGGGTACCAAATTTTCTTGGCAGTATAAACTCTGCCTCCAGAATACATGACCAAATGTTCCAAGCCTTTGATTTTGAATTATCAAAGCTCCTAAAGGATCCTAGAGAAAACAACTACCATAGTAAAAAGACAGATAAACTCAGAGTTCAGGCTTTCAAACACATAATACAAGAATAAATGTCTGCACGGGCACTAACATTTTGGTAACAAAATACCAGTTCAGAAGCACAAAATTCCTTATTCTCTTTACGCAAATTTACAGATAAAGAATCCAGAATAATGCTCAAAGGCCAAAGACAATCTGCTCCATAGTTTATTTACCATTTCAGTCATCATATGACCTGTCTTCCATCTGTTATAAGCACAGATACACTGAGTAGGCAAAAACTTTTACTGGACAAATGTTTTAAGTCAAAGGAATTTTTCAAATTCTGTGCTAGCACTAGAATGGAATTTCTTCCTGAGACACATAAATAAATACATATATGCATGTAACATATATTGGTAGGCAATTATATATATATATACATATACACACACATATAGAATGCTGATGCACACACACACATATATATATACAGGATCAGCAATGTCATGTGTTTTTTTCCATCACTGTTTAGGCCCATGTCAGCTAGCTGCCATGCTCAGCACGATGCAATTAAAATACACATAGAAGTTGTAAGTGCACATCAAAGCAACAGGATTTCAGCTGTTATACTAATAGATTCCTCTAACAAGTATGTTTGGACAAATCTGAAAGAGCAGTAGCTTTTCATATGGAATTACTGAAAATTACTGGTTTTAAGAGACTTTGAATTTGAATTTAAATCGCTTCTCTCTTTTTTATAGAATAATTTTTGGATGTATATGAATGAGGTCTAGAAAAAAAATGGAATAAGAAGCTTATTAAATTTCTTTAACCTTTAGGCTGTCTATTCATGTTGAGAACATGTACTTTTTGGATGCATATGAATGAGGTATTGAAAAAATGGAATCAGAAGCTTATTAATTTTCTTTAACCTTTAGGCTTTCCATTTGTGTTGTGAAAATGTAATTTCATATGTGATTTAGAATCTATTAAACTAATTATATAAACATTGAGAGCTGTTCTACTGGAGTTTAACTTTTTTTTTATTCAAGTATAGCAGTAAATTTGAATTCCTTTTTAAGTCAGTGAAGCTTGTGTGGAATAAGAAACTGATCATATCCTCAAAAACTCAAAACCAGACTTTTACCTTCATGAGCCCAAATGTGACGCTGAAGGTCTGACCCATTCTTCATAAAATAAAAATCACAATAGGGACATTTCACAGCTCGTTTTCCAATAAGTCCTTTCAACTGAACTCTTCTGCCAAGAATCTCAGAAATGGTACTCATCGAAACCTCTGAGAGAAAAGTAATAGATAATAAAAACAAGAAGGACATCAGGGAATTTGTTCTCTGTTACATATCTAATACTGAAGAGCTAGATTTTGATCCACTTCAGATTTTTCTAAGTTTTACCTTCCCTTGTGCCACTCAAATAATACCTAAGCAATGAATACAGCGCTTCTACTTTAGGGCTTTTTCCTTTAAAGCTTTTCATATGTTCCTACCTTTCTCTCTCAATCTGCATACTCAATAATCCCCACTATCTGGTTACAATAAATAAATAAACAAATAAACCTTGCATGTTCCACTGGCTGAAAAACCATTTTCCAACTAGTGCTTTTTTCTTCAATATTTTCAGAAGAATTTCTTCAAAATTTCACCCCTGCTTTCCAGAGATGTCAAGAATCACAATACTTCACTTCAGTCAGCTACAAACCTGATAATCAGAAATTTTAAAGTTAAAAAACAGAGTTCTGGAATAAATGCATATGGAAGACTTCTAAGGTCACCTGTTCCAAGCTGGGCCAATCTAGCAGGTTCAATTAAGTTGTCTGGAGTTCCACTCAATATTGTTTAAAGTACTCAAACAAGAAAAAACAGAGACAGTCTGGACCCTCACCTACTTTCTTAGGTAGATTCTTGATTCATGACTTCAGGCTTGTATGTCTGCTCAGTAGGGATCTATGAAAGTTGATGCCTCTCATGTCTTAGGACTATTAATACATTTAATATTAAATCAGATAAAAGCCGGGTAAAACCTGGTCAAAAGCTAGGTAATTCTGAGAGATGGGATGAGAATCCAAGAGCCCTCTTTAACAGCTAAGTTCCCTAATCATTGGGCAAAAAGGGCTAAGTTCTCTGTCTCTGGTTCAAAATACAGCTCTACAAAAATCTGAAGAGGTTTTTGTCCTACTGACTTCATGGGACTAGAGTTCAGCTCTATCCTCTGCAAAACTAGTAAAAGAAGGAGTATTATTTAATAACACATCTTATACTTGATGAAAATTGAAGCAATGAGAGCAAGGCATGCTGAACGATATTAAGACAGGAAGGAGAAAAGAGCTACAGAAATAACATTTTAATGATAAATATGAAATGGTTTCAGTTTAAATTAATTTTTGATGTGTCGTTTTAAAATTCAATTCCTTTTAACAGTATCCATCTTTTTCTTTCATTTTTGTTCTTTCTCATTTACATTCTTAAAAACAATTGCAGTCATTCCTTTCAGTAATTGACAATTTACAACAACACATTCCTTACATTTATTTAGCTTGTAATTAAGTACGTTGGAAGAATAAAGGATTTCCTACTGCTTACAAGGACAGCATGCACAGTACAAAGAATTGTGCATTAAAGCTGCTCAATATATTTATATAGTGTTGTTGTATAACTACTGCATAGGCGTATCTTAGATGCATTACGTTAGTACCATGGAGGTATAGCAGGAAAATTATACTAATTTATACTAATCTGGTAATTTCTATTCACATATATGAATTAGAAATGAACATCCAAATAATAGGCTGTACATACATATATTTTTTAACCTTACTTCTATTATAATCAAGGGTTTAAAAGAGTGAAGTTTCCCAAATAAAAACATGATTCTATACTTTTAGAAGGAATCAGATGCAAAACAAATTGTTCATTGTATTTAAATTCCTGAGTTCAGTGAGGAACAGCTTCAGAGTTAACTGGTATTTCTGGACTCTAGGCACAGCATACACTAATAATTCAGCAGTCAATGGACCAGTGCAGACCAATGGCAAGCTTTAAGGGCACAATATATAGTCCATTGCTAATTCACAGACTACATTATTTAGAGAGGCCACATACATTCCCTGGCTAAGGGAACAAAAGAGCTTTACAGCCACAGATCTTGAACATTAATTTCTGTGCTTACTGAGTGACTTATCTACCGTCTACAGTACAGCACATAAGCCTTTCCTCATCTCAGCTTGGTGCACAAGATACATCCCATAACATTTGACAAGCCCTCCACCAGGCACACTGTTGTAGTGTGGTCTGCAAATAAAGAGGTTTGGGAAAAAGAGAGCTGAAGTGGAAGCTAGTCTGAACTTAGAGCAAAGCAAATTGTTAAAAACACGAGTCTAGCACTATCTAGTGGCAGTAGGAAGACAAGAAATTACTGCTTTACCTATCATGCTGTATTTCAGACAAAGACTATGAAAGACATTTCAAATAGACTTTTTCTTTCCCAAACTTAACTGGTACTTTCCTACTTAGTAACAAATTATGTCAAGTGGTAAGCATCACTGATAAAAGTATGTTAGCCTATACAGTCAACTCCCATTATCTACAGTGGCAGAGAATCATTCTATCCAATATAATACAAATACTGATGAAGGAAAAATTGCCTCTGTGCTTGAACTGATAAATCATCAGAAAGCAAATCTAAAAAGATTTTGACTGGATTGCAGTAGTTAGCTTGGATCCAGCTTAATTCTAGCCATAGAATATTACACCAGGTTCTAGTAACAGCCCTACTGCAGACTTCAGATGGCCCTGGAGATAAAAAGCCTGGCCACATCCTAACTGAGCAGGCCTAGAGTCAGCCCAAGAACTTCTGCATTCATGTGAATTTATCTACAAACACAATAAACTACCGACAGACAAAATAATGTGCAATAAACTCTGTCAGTTAATGTATGGGCAATGGAATTTTATGTCTAATGTGCTGCTACATGATATCTATGGGACTAATTCCAGATGTGCTGATACTTAATTTGAATTCACTTAAGTCATCTTTTGGATGGAAATGAGTTCTTTGCCAGGTGAAGTCAGATTGCTTAGCACAATTACCTGACATACCTGGAACAATAACCTTTTCATTTTAAATTCTAACATCTGCAAACCCAATAAAATCCTTAATCAAAACAAGTTAGATTAGACATAAACTTTTTCTTTGGAATGTAACCACATTATATTGCTCACTCTAAAGTTTACAGCTGAATTGTAATAGACTGAGAAAATTTCCCTGATTTTTTCTTACCAGGATGATTTATCTTGATGTGTGATTTTATAAGTCGATCTTCAGAAAATGACTTCTCACACACAGGACACGAATAACTCTTTTTATCCTTAAGTGAGAAATAAGAAGAAAGAAAGAGATTGTATTTTAAGTCCACTGGTGAAATCACTGAGTCATTATTCAGTAACACGCAGTTCTCAACAAAGTTATATCTGAAAGTTCAGGGTTGTTGTTGTTGTTGTTTTTTAATTTAATAAATTCACATATTTATGGCAAAATAAGTGAAAGAGAAATATGAAAGAATTCTAAGTACATCATTAATCCTTGTGAGTGTAGAACTCCAAGTTAAAGTACATGAGAAAATGCACAATAAATGTAAGCATTATCATCTGGATGACACTTTAGACAAAAGTCACACAACAGATTAAACTTCCTTGATAGATGCAAGACTATTTAGTTTTTTCAGTGATTTCACAGATTCTCCAATCTGAAACCTCAGATTTCATTATTCTGAAGACATTCACCAGTATATGTATTTATAATACTGCTTAATGGCCTGAAATTGAGCAGAAGAGTTAACAATAACATTACTTATTCAAAGTCTACATTTTAAACACTATAAATATGCAGCATTTTTACATGTTACCAATAAAACATTATTCTACTATATTGACTTAAAGACTTCCAGATTTCTCTGGATTTTATCAGTGTTGCTGATGATATAAAACCTTTAGCACCACCAAACAAGTGGAACTAAAGAGTTTTGATGAGATTTCTTTCTATACACATTATTAGTGGGTTTTAGTGTTGTTCCAGAAGCAGCTAATTCCACATAAAAACGCAGGACTTTTCTCCATTAATTGAAGAATTATCCAATCTTAAAAAAAAAATCTTTGCAGTTTATATAAATTGAAGAGATTGATCTTTCCAGAAGTACCTGCTGACACAGACCAGGTGCTCAACCAAACACATCGGTCATCTACACACCACTGCTCTGACCAGATTAATGTATGACAGGAGTATCAAAACAAGAGAGTGAAGAAAGTCTAGTTAGTCCTGACACTAGGTAGATAACACATCTCCCACCAGGTACTATATCTACCAAACCACTGGGAGATTGTTGGAAAAGTGATTAGTACATCACTAAAAGATTAGTTGAAGTTACAGAACAGATACTTTACTGGTTATTTCAGGAGGACAGAAAACTTCTCGAAGAGTACAGATTGAAGATTACTGTTTCAAAAAGAAAATGTTATGAAAGAGAAATGCGCAAGTAAAAGGAGAATAAGAATCCTGGACTCTACCAATTTCTCACCTGACACTACCCAGGAAAACAGGACAAAGAGATAAGTATTGCCTGTAGGCTGTAGTTATAAATGAACATTTCTCTTAAAAGTAAAGCAAAAATGAAGGATTTTAGTCGTAAATTGTTTTGGATTATCTTGTAAGTATTTGCATTCAATATCATTTACATCTGAGAAAAATAAACAGCAAACAACTGGTTGAAGTAGCAATCAATAATTTTATGACAGTGGAATATGGGATAGAAACTCTTGCAGTTAATATGGCAATAGCACAACAATAATTCTGACTGCACTGTCAGCAAGTTGTCTGTGAGAAAAACTATACCAAGGATGGGGGACAGCAGCTCCTAGAGGATTAACACTTTGAGTAAAATAAAGTATCTTACTAAGTTGGAGTTGGGTCACTCACCACTTAGTGAGTGACCACAGTGTGGTAAATGATCTTCAAAAATATGTCTTTTGTAGAGTAACAGATTTCAATTCTGAGTATTGTCCCCAAAAAGATCCCCCTCCCACAGCTCTAGCTCTGCTGATTGCCCTTGTCATAGGTAGTGACAGAGGCACTTGGAAGGACTTACACTGAGGTTGTAGTAATACTTTCATCACATTCTCAGCATGCGAGTTTTCCTCTGCTATGAATAGAAGTTATTTATCCTACACCTTATCAGACTGCCTGCCTTCTAGATGCCTTTGAGGGTTTTTGAATGATGCAAACAGAAGCAAGATATCAAGAAAGACAGATCTACCTTTGTTGGAAACCAGCTGTATAATCCAATCAACTATTCAATTTCAAAGTCATATCCATACTTCCTGAAGCTTCCTTAATCCCCCTATTACTCAATTTGAGAATATATAAGAATCACAGAATCACAGAATTGTAGGGGTTGGAAGGGACCTCCAGAGATCATCAAGTCCTACCCCCTTTAAGAAACTTAAAATAATTCCAAAGTAAAGTAATTTTTTTGATTGAAAGTACTGTTCACATCCCAAAAATCAGGAATTAGTCAGGTTCATAAATAATCTTAAACCCAGAAAAAAAGTAGTCTACTATTATCACAGAACTTTCTTTGTTTATGTTATCATTCATTATAAACTTACAGTGGAATCACAATGCCTTTCTCTCTATATAAAAGAATTAAAATTGTGCTTAAAAAGGATTTCAATATCTATCTATACGGATACAGTCCTTAAAGAAAATTTATTTCTCTGAGGTATGTTTCAAGATAATTCAATGGGTACTTGTACTAGTATATAGCCTTAAAAACAAAAATGAAACTCTCTGGATATGTAGCATTTAAAAAAAATGGACCACTATAAAATTCAATTAATTAATCAAGCAGTGCCAAACACAGCCAACAATGCAAAACATTGAGAATGTAACCAGCCTACTCATAAATAGAGGCATCCTGATGACACCAGGATCTTATCCTATGAAAATACAGAGTAACATCTGATGATGCTATATATCAGTATAAATTCATGGACCTTAACAGCAGATCTGAAGCTAATTTCAAATGAGACTGTGTGAACTCCTGACTGCTTTGTAATTTCTTTTATTAGCAGTGTAAAGTTAAGACTACAGCCATTACAAAAATCATTCAATTCGTATCACATGAGACTAATGTGATATAGAAATCAACAATACCCTCAGCTTCTTTATTAGCAGTGACATCATTTTATGAGCAGGAAATAAAACAAAGCTCCACTAAATACTGTTACCCATTGGCAAAACTAAATGCTTCTCATCTGCACAAGGCCTCCCAGCTTGGCAGCCAGGTGAGTGTGTAGTATTCAGACCAAATGGACTACACTGGCTTAAAAAACATTTTTCTGCCATTACCACTCTTTGTTATAAAGTTTTTCTGAAGCTAATGGTCAGCAGAATATTCTGATCCTGGACGCACTGAGCTGCTGAGAAGAGACATTTAGCATCATTCCCTCCCCATACTGAAGTATCTGACTGTCTCAACTCTTCCTGCTTCATTGCATTAAACATACTGAAAAGAATATAAGATTTTACAGATGTAGAAAGTAATTTGTTATGACAAAGATGCTTCTACACCAAAAATAATATGTACATGTCAGAGCAGCAAAATAAAGAATAAAACTAAAAACAAAGGAGTGAAAAATCAAAGTTTGGCACAGAAGTTGATGACTGAAGAAAGAGACAAATTACAGAAGGCGTCTATGCTAGCATCACAGTTTTACTGACTTAAAACCAGAACACTGTGAAGAGCAAAGCAGCACATACAGACCTAAAATGACTTTATCTTTATTTAACTCTCCTCCCACACTGTTTTCTCTTTCCAGTATTTAAATCTTTACGCATTTTGATAGTTTGGTACTTGAACATTTTTGTTCTTTTTTTTTTTTCTATAGCTGATACACTTATTTTATGCGGAAGAAAAATTAGGATGAAGCTACTCATAGTCTTGCAAAGTGAAAACATTGTCAAGCATCTTCCAGTGTTACTACATCCTCAGAGAGAATTCCTGTCCTGCAGTGGACATGCAAATACAAGCCTTCATGTATTAAGAAATGAGCTACCTTAAACTCCTGTGCATCTGCCCTAATCTAAGAATACTGCCAGCAGAAGTTCTCAATTTGTTAATTTCAAAAAAAAAATTGTTCAATAATGTAGAATAATAGAGAGATAATGCCCACTCCTGCACCTACTCAAATCAACAAAAATGTCAATATTAACATAAAACATGAAATAGGGCTCCTCAGTTAAACGTGCGATGAGTGAAGAAATGTAGAAACCCTCATGAAACTTGTGATGCTCAAATCAAAATTTTCAAGGTTCCTGAATCCTGCTGATGTCACTGTTAAACTGCAACTTTGCTAAGCTGATCTGATGTACCCAGAAAGTGGTTACACACACATATGAAGGAAATTACTTAAAAAGGCTGGACAGACTTTATTACAGCTTACAAGATGATAGCGATACTTTTTATGCATTTTTCATAAATAACTGCTTAGAAAAATAAATGGCCAGCTGAAACTTCTTATGGAAGCCAGCACCAAGAACAAAAGCCATTTTCCAACTGTGGCCAGACACACATTTGGTTAATTCTTTCTCAGTTCATTACCTTGCATTCTTGACTATACAGTGGCAAATATCCCAGATCTAGAAGTACTACAGGTACTAGCCAGGTAAGTAGTGTGAAAACGACACTCCTCAGGAGAGGGAAATGAACAACAAAAGCACAAGTATTCACTTATGACCCAAAGCTCAAACTACGCTATTATTAAGGTTAGCAGCATAATGAAATTTCTGAGCATCCTCCCAAACAACAATTTTTTGCATCCAGAAATGTACATGAAGTACATGTAGTCACCAAAGTGTAGGTAGGTGTTCTGGATCAGAACTCCAGCCGTGTTTATCTTGGAGATAACGTATAGATTTATAGTAAATTCAGACACAAACTTCTCTGTGATGTTTATCAGTACAGAGCAAATGATGGGTGCTATACAATGAGTGACAGGGATGAGCACAAAGTTGCTTTTTAATAATCATCATTTATCCTGTTCATCAAATAAGACAAGAATCCAGCTGAAAAGCAGCCAGGAAAAATCTAATGAAATACGTGCATTTGTATAAGGAACTGAGATTTTCATACTGGCTATCACTGGGGAACTTTTAACATTAATATTTATTAAGTATTAATTTTGCAAATGAAAACGAACATTAAAGTAGCTTTCTGTATTTGTCTGTGCCTACTTTTTTAAAGTACTGTATTTTGGATGAGCAGCCCCATTTACTGAAGGCATGCACTAAGTAAATACATCAAGCAGCGGGCAAAAGGACCAACAGGAGCACTGCCAAGGTTAGTTACTGAGTAAATGCTAATAAATGATTTTTTCAATTCATTTAAATACTCAAATAGATTTTGCAGTAAGCACCACTAAGCATAATTTTGAAAGAGCTCACTTTCATAATGTTTTTAATTACGAAATGCATCTTCCATTTAGTGTCATGAAAATGATCTTCCTGGTGGGAGCTGTCGGATATTTATCACACTTGAAAAATAAAGGACAAGGACACAGAAGTCTAATTTTAGCTCCTTCTTTAAAGTAGTTTCAGACATCATTTACACAGATTTTTCCCATCAGATGCACATTATAAACTTAATAAATTCAAAAGAAGCCTAAAAAATATCCTGTTTCATGAGTTTTTCATATAATTCATAATGAATTCAGATTGATCAAAATATCAGCAATATTGTGGGATAAAGAGGAAAATAAACCTTTCTTCCTTTATGACATCTATGGTTTGTTTGGTTGTTTGCTTTTGGGTTTTTTTGTTTGTTTGTTTGTTTTTTCTGGTTGGTTTTTAAAGCTGTCCTGCAGTTCCAAAAGACTATTACTTAATCAGAGTAAAAATACCTTTAAAATAACTTCAGTTGTTGGAAATATTTGCCAAGAGCCTACCTGCAAAATGCAGATGAGCTGAAAACATTGGGCTGATATGTAAACACCTTTTTGAAGCAGCTATGCTAATTTAGTAGCTAGAAATTGTCCACATCTGGGGAAAAATTACCATGAATCCTTAATTCAAACATTACATTTCACTTAAAAAGATAGAATGCACCACAAACACTTATCACAGTAGTTTAAGCAAGTTGTGATGTTATTTTCTCATGTGATTAGGAGAAACATGCCCGTAAGTGGTGCATTCTACATTATTCATGTGATAATGTTAGATCAGAGAACTATCATCAAGCTGTGTTTTAGAGAAAGAGGGTTCCCAGTCCAGCATGCAGTCCCTAACATAGTCTCAAAGAAAACACGCATCAGGACACTTAAAAGCATCTCTCTTCTACTTCTTCTAATGCAAAAAAGCAACTGCAATGGACATTCAGGGCTGGAAGGTTTACTGACTAAGATGGGAAACTTTAATATCAGAATTCTTCATCTTCGTAGTCACCAAAGAAAATGGTGATTGGTCAAACAGATGGGCTGCAACTAGTTAGAACTATTGCTAAACAATATTAATAAAAAAGCTTTTCAGCAATTTAAACTTCGCTATAATAATTAAGAGAGAAATAAATAGTCATTTTACCACAATCATCTCTCTGAGAAGGAAAGGATCTGCCTCCAAGGAATGAAGTAAAGAAAAGTAAAGAATCTGAGAATACTGGGAAAACTGAAGGGAGGAAGTGGATAGCAACATACTATACGAAAATCTACAATAAGAGTGATCAAACTTAGGGAAATGGTGGAGTCACTGACCCTGGTGGTTTTCAAGAAAAGGGAAGACGTGGCACTGAGGGACATGGTTCAGTGGGCACGGCAGTGATGGTTTGATGGTTGGATGAAATGATCTTAGTGGTCTTCTCCAACCGGAACGATTCTATGATTCTAAATATATACTTGCTCTAGCTCATGTAACCAACTCATCTAAGACTTCTCAGGCAGAAAGAAGTACTCATGCTCAGGTTAGAGCTCTTACTTCTATCTTCAAGCATTGCCACATGACTCCAAACACCAAGACGATGACACTGAATTGAGATAAAGATACTACTTGGCTTGTTAGCTTTGGTTACTTACCAACTCAGAGTGAACTTTAAGATGTGCCTGGAGCTTGTATTTATCTGGAGTAGAGTAGTCACAATGCTCTGTAGGACATTTCAGCAAAATATTGCTGTGTTTTTGAATGACATGACGCTTAAGGCAGTTTTTGGTGATGGAAGAGTAACTGCACTGGGAGCAATAGTATAAATGTTCTCGAGTGTGCGTACGAACATGCATGTCATAATGTACTTGGTACCAAAATAACTTGCCTGAAAATAAAACCAGACATGGAGAGAATTATTTCTAAGCAATCAATGAAAATTCCAATGCATACCCAATTTTCTTTTACAACAAATCATGCTGCTTGAATTGCATCCCTTCTGGCTGTAAAAAACAAAAAAACAAAACAAAACAACATAAAACTTATCTTAAAGAGTCTACTAACAAAAATGTTTAAAAAAATGTTTTTGTCTAAAAAGGTTGTGTCATACGTCCTGAATCAGCAAGTGCAACTCCACGATCTATGAATTATCTCTTTTCTAACGAGGAACTTCTTTGTATCTCTTCTTCTGAACAAAGACTCTGAGTTCAGCTGTTCAGTAGAAAAGGTTGTCAGAAATCTTTTTTGGTACTTCTTTTCATTTTATTCCTTCCTAAAAGTTCTTTTGACACAATGGCACCAAAAAAAGAAAAATGCATACAAATAAAACATATGTTATGGTGTTTAAAACAGACAATTTAAAAAACAAACTTTTACTCCTTTCCCTTCTCAAAAAGGGAGACAATGAGAAAAATCCCAATTATTTCACTCCAGTTGTGTCAGCTAAAAAAAATTGCAGTTGGAAAAATGGGAATGTATAGTCTTCTCACTTCAATAAATACAAAAATCAATTAAAATCAGAACAGTGCTGATCTTAAAGCACAAAATGAAAATTTTCATTGTCAGAGAAAACGGTTAAAAAAATATCAGCTAATGTATCCACAGTACATAATTTGTATGACCGTGCATCATTCCAAGCTTTACAACAAAGACTGAATTTTACTCTAAGACAATAAAGCACAGACTGGCTAATGCTCATCACAGACACTTATGTCTGTTCTGCTCAGCCCCAGTGGAAGTTCTGAGGTAGGATAAGGCAGACAGGCAAGAAGAATCTGTCCAATTCTATTAAACTTCAAATCAACAGAAAATCGATTAGGGCAAAGCTCTGCTTTACTATATTCTATGACTGTTTTCTGAGGGGATTTGAATCATTTCATTTTGTTTATACAGCCCAGGTTAAACTACCCTGAACTCCACAGTCCATACCAAACTAAAAATACTGATGCAAAGATACATAAATTTACCAAAAACTATAAACCAGAGAAGTAGGAAAAAGACAGCCCGTCATATAACATTAAAAAAAAAAAAAGGAAACAAAAAGCCCCACATCTTTGTACTGCTTCTTACCACAATATTCACATTCCAAATCTCCATAAACCTTCCTTATCCTCTCACACAACTCTGTGTTCATTTGTCTCTTCTGTAAGCTATCCAAGATCTGCATAAAGGCAACAGCTCCACTCCGATTATCTGATTTATCTGCATTAGAAGAGGCTGCCTGTGGACTGACGGCTGCATTAGCATCTGGTGCTAGCAAAGGGTCAGTTGTTCCTGTTGAGTTCTGAACTGATGGATTGCTTGTTTCTGATTCACTAGAAGGAACAGACTGATTTTTCTCTTCAGAAACTGAAAGATCCTCAGTCACTGCATTGTTTTGACTCACATTTAAACTTGCATCCTCAGAGAGCAAAAGTTGAATTTCCTCACCCCGTTCACTTACAGAACTGCAGTGAACAGATTCCTCTCCATTTGCAGCAGAATCTTTTAACTCATCGGGAGCAGAGGTGCCATTTTTCAGCAGAAAGCAATCTGACATTACACAGGATTGAATGTTTGTGTCTGCTCTCTCTGTTGATGCCTCACAGACAGTCTCTCTTACGTTCTCTACCAGAGGATTTTCACATTCTAAGGAAGGAACGGTATTAGTTTTTAAGTCACCATTATGCTGATCATTATGGTTCACATCTGCTGCTATCAATTCATCTGTGCAAGTAGATGGTGTGTTAACAGCATTAGTACTCATGATAGTCAATTCATCTGCAGTTTGTGATAGCTGTTCACCAAGTGCTTCTGGCTGTATATCACCTCCTGGTTCAAGCAGGCAGAAACTCTGATTGATGGAACTATTAAAAACAGAAGTTTCCTGCAAATCTGCATGTACTTCTTTGATGTGAGCACGCAGTCTTACAGAACTGACAAATTTCATCAGGCACACAGAACACACATAGACAAATGGGTGTTTTCGAACATGAAGCTCAAGAGCTTGGTATTTAGTTGCTCCATGACCACAGAGCTCACAAGCAAAGGGCCTTTCATCACCATGGACAAGCATGTGACGGTCTCGATCGAGTTCGTTTTTAAATTTGCGTTCGCATATATGGCAGTCATAAAGAAGTTGTCTTTTGCCCTCTCTTGTCATCAAGCGAAGTTCGTCAAAAACATCTTTCACCTTCTTATCTTGAAGGTCATGTGTTTCCTTGATATGCTTGATCAAATTTTTAACATCTGAGTATTTCTTTTTGCAGAAGCGACAATGCTGCTTAATTTTCTTGTGAACTCTTTCAATATGGACTTTGAGATGGCCTTTGCTGAGACATGTGAACGTACAATAGTCGCAGCTAAATTTCTCCCCTGTATGTTTCCGCATGTGAACATTAAGGTTGGCTTTGATTGCACTGGCATAATTGCAGTATGAACACTTGTATGGCTTTTCATTTGTATGAATCCTCAAATGTGCTTGGAGGGAGTGTTTGAATTTGAACACCTTGTTGCAGTATTCACATGTGAAGATCTTTAGCTGAGTTGGACCCAACCTAAAAAGAAACAAAAATAGCTGTATTTAAAATATTGAAACTTGGTATCAAGTATTTCATACATATTCATAGCAGACACAAATAATTACCTGTATTTATTATAAAGAGATACTCTGTTGGCTTTTTAAATTCTACAACCTATGCACAGAATATTTTTAGCTGTTCCTTTATTGAAAAGGCTCAGAAAATATGAATGCAAAGCTTCCCTTCCCTATTGATTTTAATGAAAATGAAATATTTTATAGGAATACAAAGATAAATACTTCAAAATTACCTGCTTGATTTCATTGTCTGTTCATATGGAGTCTGTTGAATTGCATATTCTTGATATCCTCTTCGTTGCGATGGGTCTTGAACCACTGTTTCAGGAGTAGTGGGTTCGCTTTCTTGGGGAGCAGCCTCAACTGGAACAATTTTTGTGGCTCCTAAAAGAAAGAATAAAAAATGTTTGTTAACAATATTTGACTAAATTCTGCATTATCTATAATACATGAGTGTAAATGACTGAATGCTTTAGGTTGGAAGGGACATTTAACGATTGTCGACTTCCAACCCCACTTCCATTAGATCAAGTTGCCCAAAGCCCCATCCAACTTGGCTGTGAGCACTTCCAGGGATGGGCCATACACGGTTTTTCTGGGCAACCTGTTTCAGTTCCTCACCGCCCTCATAGGAAAGATTTTCTTCCTCATGAAGAATCTAAATAAACCTTTTTTAAAATTTGTCCTACTGCTGCACTGCCTGATAAATAAAACATTAAACTCAGTAATCATTAGCTCAACTATTTCAGTTTCTATTTTTAAATTCATATGCATATAATGATAGGTACATGTGCATAGGATGATGGGTACAATTCCAGAAGATACCAGTACTCATGCCAAACATCTGCTTAAATTACATGACAGAATTATTGGTTTTCCAGAATTACAGAAGTGCTTGATGCCTACTACTATGAGATCCAATTACTTCCACCTTTAAAAAACTAAGTTTTCAAAACTCAATTTTAATTTATCAGTTTCTGTCTCATAATACTACTGAAAACTTCAACTGAGCTGCTGAATCAGTTCCACAAGTGAGGCTGGGGAAAAAGATACTGTTTTGTCTGTATTTGAAAGTCCAGACATGATTTCCTTGAACAAATTGTTATTGCTTATGTTTTGGGACTTACTGCCATCCACTCAGAACAAAAGAATACATGCCATGTGCACTTATAAGTCTCCATTAAAAACAGAAGTAAAAGGGCTACGTTTAATGCAAAGAAGATCAGATACTATCCCACAGAGCTTTCACTAAAAGAGGTAGAAATAGCACATTTTGAGATGTGACTGAGATTATTTAACTGTTTTGTTTTTTTTTCTTTTCCCTTCCCTAAACAATTGGGTGGAAAATATTCAATGTCAAGCATCCACATTTAGCACTGAAGATAATCACATAAATATTAATTTACAGTGCAAAGAGAAACCTCAAGTATATCAAACCAAGCATTCATTATTGATTGATCCCCTCCCTTTTAATTTCACAGTCCAACTGTAATTCATCTACCCATGTTTAAATAAGAATATACTAAGTTTATAAGTGGTAATATGTATAGTTATTTATTTATTAACATATATATTACAAGTATATATATATAGTTGTAAAATTCTCATATTCAAATAACAAGTACTTTAGAAAAATATCTGAAGATAACAAAAATTGATTCCAGGGCGGATACTGAAAAACAAACAGTAAGCAAGGACTATATACTGAGTAACAAAGAGAAAACAATGCATTAAATATGTAGTAATAGATGACTTTCATATCCCCTATGAAAAAAATATTGCTGGACCAGAAAATAAAGTGTTCTATGATATACAGACAATAGAGAACCAAGTAAGTTTGCACATGAAAATATCTTTGAATTAAAAAACAAACTTAACAACTTCATGTAAAATTGAAATTCAGTATATTTCACTTTATTTCCTTTTTCCTGGATAGTACATTAGTATTTAATCCCATTTTAATGCACCTAAATAGAAGCCAAGTAAAAATTTTTAAAAAACAGTACAGTACAGAAGTTTATAGTATGAACCAAAATAATTTTACAAAAAATAGGAGCCTATAAAGACATAATCAACACATTATATATATATGTGTGTGTGTGTGTGTTAACAGCAAGAATATAAGTATTTATAAAATGAAATAAATAAAATGAATAAAAAGCAAAAACATTGAAAGAGTGATAGGAATTGCTCCTTTAATAATAGAATGAAATTAAAATCCTTCTTGTTCCATGTAGAGAGAAATTATCTCTAAAAAGTTGATTTCCCTCTTGTTTATAAACTCTCCTCAATTACTGGAAGGCTGCAATTAGGTCTCCCCACAGCCTTCTCTTTTCCAGGTTGAACAAGCCTCACTTCTTCAGCCTGTCTTATAGAAGAGGTGCTCCAGCCCTCTGATCATCTTCATAGCCCTCCTCTGGACCCTCTCCAAAAGTTCCACATCTTTCCCGCGTTGGGGGCCCCAGACTTGGATGCAGTACTCCAGATGGGGCAGAGTAAAGAGGGACAATCACCTCTCTCTCCCTGCTACCCTTCTTCTGATGGAACGCAGGATACCATTGGCCTTCCAGGCTGCAAGCACACACTGCCTGCTCATGTAAGTTTTTCATCAATCAGGACCCTATGTCTTTCTCACAGAATGGCCAGGGTTGGAAGGGACCTCAAGGATCATGAATCTCCAACCCCCCTGCCACATGCAGGGCCACCAACCTCCCCATTTAATACTAGACCAGGCTGCCCAGAGCCCCATCCAATCTGGCCTCAAACACTTCCACGGACGGGGCATCCACAACCTCTCTGGGCAGCCTGTTCCAGCACCTCACCACTCTCTCTGCAAAGAACTTCCCCCTGAGATCCAACCTAAATCTCCCCTCCCTCAACTTAAAACCATTTCCCCTTGTCTTCCCATTATCTACCTTTTCAAAGAGTTGATTCCCCTCCCCTCTGTAGGCTCCCTTTAGGTATTGAAATGTGCAGTGAGGTCACCCCGCAGCCTTCTTTTCTCCAGGCTGAACAAGCCCAGCTCCCTCAGCCTGTCCTCATAGGGGAGGTGCTCCAGTCCCCTGATCATCTTCGTGGCTCTCCTCTGGACCCTCTCCAACAGCTCCCTGTCTTTTTTGTACTGGGGGCTCCAGACTTGGACACAGTACTCCAGATGGGGCCTCACAAGAGCAGAGTAGAGGGGAACAATCACCTCCCTGTCCCTGCTGGCAACCCCTCTTTTGATGGAGCCCAAGACAGCATTTGCCTTCCAAGCCACAAGGGCACACTGCTGGCTCATGTTAAGTTTTTCATCCATCAAGACCCCCAGGTCCTTCTCCACAGGGCTGCTCTCAAGGACCGCTCCTTCCAGTCTGTATGGATGCCTGGGATTCCTCTGGCCCAAGTGCAAAACTTTGCTCTTTGCTGTGCTGAACACCTCATCAGGTTCACCCAGGCCCACCTTTTGCAGCCTCTCGAGGTCCCTCTGAACGGCATCCCTTCCTTCAATCATGTCGACCGCACCACTCAGCTTGGTGTCGTCAGCAAACTTGCTGAGGGTGCACTCGATTCCGTCATCGATGTAATTGATAAAGATGTTAAAGAGCACCGGTCCCAAGACAAACCCCTGGGGGACGCCACTCGTTACCAGCCTCCACCTGGACATAGAGCCATTGATGACCACCCT